AATTCTATAATACTTACTTCAGCTTGCTTTCAAAAAATTAAAGCCATAATTCTAGTTCAAATATGCATTTGATACTGGCCACATTTTGATGTCGTATAGGAATTGTTACAGGTATTCTTGAAAAAGTGCATTACAGATTCAACTCTGCTTCCTATCCTAATTTTTGGCAAAGGAATTATTCAATCTGATAAGCAACATTCTTTTGGTAAAGGTGTGCTTAGTATTCTGCAACACTTTTATAATTTGGTTATTCCATGTTCTATTACTTTGTGTAATATTTTAGTAATATAAATTTTATTTTATGAATATACTATATAAATCTATATTAGAGATAAAAATTAAATCAAAGATAAGTTATAATATCTAGTCATTTCTTATGATAGAACTTTTTATATCTTCTCTTTTAAATAAGTCCTTTAAGTTCATAAGTCTGTATTCAATTAGATATTTGATTTCTCAACTTTTTAATAAATAAATGAAATAATCAAAAAAATTTATAAAACTATATATGAATGTGTTTTTAAATGAGTAGATAAATTATGATAGTAGAAAAATAATGATCTAAAATTACAGTCTCTATAATATAAGTAAAATATATTAGTTAAAGAATAAATCACTTAGAAAAGAGTAAGATATTAAGTATTAAAAATCTTCTTAAATTCTAATTTATTGAGTAGTAATTATTTAATTATCATTTTTATAGAAGTGGAAATATGATAATAGAGTATTAATTCAATGATACTTAAAAATAAAGGAAAACAAAAAAATATTGAAAAATGACAAAATGAATAAGATATAATCATAGTTTATTATAATGATGTCTACTTTTACAAAGATTAAAAGAAATATTGATTAAGGATTTTACTTGTATAAGATATTTATAATTCAAATTGATTTATAAATAAATACAAAATTATTAGTGCTATTGTTAAAAAATATTAAATTTTTGAGGAAATAACAAATGATTTAAAATGAAATTTGCTAATTCTAAATTATAATTTATATCTAAAATAATTTCTTTGATACTTGATACTCTCCTATTTCATCTTGTTAATAACTACTAAATAAAATAACATGTAAATATATAAACTAAATACTTTTTAGTGTGAAATGCCTTAACCATCATAAAAAATCATTTAGGTTAAGTTCTCTATTATTGATTAATTAGAATTAAAATACAAAAATAATATATAAATTAAGTAAGGTATTTTTAATTATAATACTATGTTTTTGTAGACTTCAAAAATTATTAATACTTAAAAATTAAATATTTAATAAATGAAAAATATGATTATATTAAATTGATTAATAATCAATCTTTTCTTAGAGGTTTAATAATTCTCTATGTTCCTGTTGGAGTAATTATAAGGATTTCTACATTGTCTCCAGTATGGATGTCTCTTTCAGCAGCACAACTGAAACAATCTAATATTATATCTAGAATTTCTTGTTGAGTTTAAGGGATAGTTTTGTTGATTTTGTTGTAACCTTTTAGTTAATTATCTAAAACAGCAACTACTAATTCTTGTCCACTTCCTTAAACACCATAAGTCATTTAATCATAACTACCAATGGCATCATATCCATATACAACTCCATGATTATTTTCATCAAGGCCAGCCAATAGATTAAAAGTGTAATATGGGAAAAACCTTCTAGAATAGAGTTCTCTAGATAATAAATGAGCTACAGTCTATGTGGAAGCCTTGTTTATAAAATAATCAGATTACTTAGACTTCATTTTAGAATTCATATAATTATAATCTTTATTACAAAAATTTCCTTAATGCTATAAAATCTGCATATTGACCTGCAGTAGCTAAAATACATTTATCAGTCAATTAAGATAATTTAGTTGCATCTCGAGTTAAAATATTATACCCATTACTCAATCTAGTATCTCCAGCTACAATAACAGCTCCAGGAATTCCAATAGCTATTTTATATTAATTTGATTAATTACCTAATACAGTTCCTGAATTATCATGATAAGGACTCCATTAATCTTATTTGTGAGTGATATTTGACATGTTAGGTGTTTCTGTTTTGAAATGTTTATGTATTTCATTTACTGGGATATACATTTTAAAAAATAATGAATTTGAAGTATACTAATCTAGTCAATTCTAATTATAAAATTACTATTATATATAATTAAATATATTTATAAAATGAAGGTGAATAAAAATTTATAAGATGCAATTATTAATCTGAATTCTTTAAGTATTCCAAGGACTGAAATAGTTATTGGAAGAATATTTAGCAAACCAGGATAATTATATAAAGATTTATTTACAGAGGATGAAATTAAGAAATTTTAAAATAATCTGAATATTTCTGAATAGTAATTAGCAAACATTGTAAATGCATTCACATTTGTATTAATGCATGTTGTTGCAGAAAGAAATTTAAGTTAAGTTGAAGAAGTATTGGGATAAAATGGAATGGTAATAAATTATTCTATATTTTTTATAGTCTTAAGATCATATTGAAGTTTTTAGGTAATAATGGATACAATATGGGAATGAATATTCTATTAGAATAAGAGAAAAACCAATAGCTGTATAAGATGTATTACATTCTTTTAATTGGAAAATCAGTTTATAAGTTGATGAATCAAGATTACCATAAAAGAGTATCTATTATAAAGTATGAAATACAGATGTTGCAAATTTTATGAATGTTGATGGAAAAATTGAAGATGCTAATGATTTATATTCATATGATGCAAGAAATCCCGCTACAACCTTTGTATTTGAAACTAAACCTTCAGGAGAGAATAATAAAGTTGATAAATTTAGCATTAAATTTTAAAAGGCTTAGATTTAAGATTTATTTGAATAATTGGAAAGTATTTAAGAAAGTTTAGATAAATTAATTTGATAATATTATTATCATTATATTTAATTTATAAGTAATAACATATATTCAACTAAATCATTAAAAGAATATATTTATTTTATTACCCTTATATTCATATTCAGAGAAGACTGAAATAACCTTTAAGGCTTCATAAATATCTACCATAGTAATCTTAATTTAATTGTATTCTAATCTAATATCTAAATTATATTTATTTATTTAATTAAATACCCTATATCATTCCAACTAATTTCAACATATTTTAAATTTCTATTATATCTTTGATTCCTGACAAGATTAACACTTTGCTTATAGGGACAATTTTAAATTTAGTTTTTGAACCTATATATAATTCTTCATCTATATTTAAGGCTCTTTAATCATCTTGCTGCTGATGGAATAGTATTCTTAACTAAAGATATCATTTAATTTTAATAACTTCTTTATTGAAAAATAAGACATTATTTAATAATTCTTTGGCTATAGTAGCTTAATCAGAGTTCATAAATTTTAGGATTGCTGTTTATTATTTTTTGTTTAAAATCAAAGTCTCAAGATGACCAACTCTATTAAAAAGATTATATAGCATTTTAGATGTAACTTTAATATCTATATTGGAAACTATCAAGTATTTAGATGGCTTCTAATCTAATAATTAATGAATTATTTATTATTGTTGATCAAATTAGATTTATTGAGACTTTTCTATTTCATTATTGTAATCATCATCCAAAATTTATATTAATTATTTTAATTATGATTCCATTCTTAAAATAAATTAAAAAATTAAACATTGCTTTGTTAGGAGACTCTCCTAAATCTTAAGCGACTCTCATTTAGTTTTAATTTGTAAAATCAACTTAAGATGTTTGAACTTATTAACACTGAATATTTTCTTTATTGTTTTTTATCTTTATTTTCGATACAGAATTTAATAACAGTTGAGTCTCAACTTCACTTTATTAGTATGAAGTTCCACGAGTTTAATCAACAACTTCAAGATTGAGTTACTTAAGATGAGAAAAATGAATAAGTAGTCTATATATTCAATACTAAATATTTACTTTCCTCCTTATGGAGTTATCTATTTCCCCATCATATTTTTTCTAGCAAGGATAGCATGCTTGATGTTTAAGTATTCTATGAAGGCTTTATTTGTTTTCCCTCTTTCAAAAATGAGTATTTTATTGATGTCTCCATATGATTTGAACATATCGAAGAGATAATCATTAGTAAGAGGAAATGAATGAGGCAAGCAAGAAATGATTAGCAATAATATCTTACTAGGAGGATCTCGAGAATTCATTAACAAATTAATATTAAGAAAGAATGAACTAATTCTAATATATTCATTCTTATAATTGAATAATTTAAATTTTTTAAATATATAAATAATATTTTTACACTAAATAGATTATTATATAATATATTTGAATCATAATGACAATATAAATATCAGATAATATTAATCAACAAGATTAAAAGATTTAATATTAGAATCATTTCACTTAAAAATTAATTTTATATCATTTTATTTTTTTGAATTCAATTTTTATTATTAATTTCTAATTTATTATTAATAAACTTTCTCTATTCATACTTAGATAAATCAATTACTATTTTATATTGTAAATTGTACATACTTTTATCAAGGAAGTTTTCAAAAGGGATTTAAATTAAATTAATTAAATGATCTATTATGTTGTAAAATATTATCAAAATTTCTACAACATATATATCCAAAAAAATTATTTTAAGTAATAGTTCATTTAATATTGCACAACATTCTCAGCAAGTCAATTTGAATTTTTAATTAATTAAATTTCTATTTTAAATTATAACACTATTTAATATAATTAATCATTATTGATATTAAAATCTTTTAATTATTCTATTCCACAGACATTTTTTTATTTCTCCTTTCTTTGTTTTCTTGTCCTTTTAATTAACCGCAACCAATCCATGAATTTCTAATCAGACTCTTTTTAAGACTCTTAATTTTATAATTTTACAGATTTTATATGTTTTAAGCAAAAGAAACATTATCCATATTTATTTATTAATTTATTCTCTTTCCTTTTTGTATTATTATATAGTATATAATTCTTTAATATTAAATATTAGTATATATAAATATATCAAAATTTAAATTAATATAAATTTGCACTTTTTTTATATTATTATCTTTTATATTTTTCTATTATCCTATCCTTATTATATTGAGGGTAGTATGAAATTAAATTACATGCTTATTCAAATGTATTGTGGAATTATTCTTCATTTAAGGGACTATTCTCATGATATTATTTATATGTATCAGTTTTAATCTTGAAATCATGTTTCTATGTTGTATCATGTTTAGTGTCTTCTCGAATTTTCTAACTTTCTGTACGTATTGATATTGTGTATCTTTGACTTCTAGATCTACTCTACATTGATAATTATTTAGATGTATATGAAGCTTCCTTTAAATTATTAATTTTTTCAGTTTCATTCATTTCACTAACTGATGGTATAGCCTAAAGTGGATTTTTTATAGATTTAGTATTAGAGTAACTTGTACCAATTTAAGACTTCTTTTTCCTCTCCTATGCAACAAATAAACTATCTTCAACAACTCCTTTTTAAAAAGGTAATTTCTCATCTTAATAAAGCATAGGTGGAGATCCAGTTGGTACAGGAGGAATTCCAATACTACTCTAGGGGATATTACCACTACTAGATTAACTGCTTAATTTATGTTAATATTATTATTATTATTATTATTATTATTATTATTAATGATTTTACTATTATTACTATTATCTTTATCCAATAGAATGATTAGAATATTTATCAGAATCTTACTATTTTGATATCTTTCTTTTTGGGTACTCTTTCAAAAATACATTAAAAGAACTTTAAGATAATTAAGAAGTTGGTAGTTATTATACTTTAACAGGAATAGCACTAATTTTATCTACTTAAGAATCATTCGATTTAATGCCAGACATGGATTTCTGAAATTTTGATTCTTCATCTGAATGAACACTTATAGAATTTAAAGATCTAGATCTTTTTCTAAATCTCACATTTTTAGATTGCTAATGTTATTGTTATTATGATCTATGAGTATTATGAGTAGGTTCTTAATATCTAATTTCTTAAGTCAATTTAGTTTAGTGTGTTCTTTCTATTTAACTAGGATTAGGTTCTTCTTCTTCAGAAGAGAAAGAAAAATTATTTTCTTAAAATAATGAAACTGCATCTTCAAATAATCTCTATCCAAATTTAGCATTTGTAGTTCTTCTGCAATTTCTTCTAAATAAAGTTCTTTTGTTAGGAACTGAAAACAAATGTTTTGCTAATAAAATCTATTTATTTATTATTAAATGTAATCTATGACATTAATCTATCTCATGATAAGTATCTCCACATCCCAAACATTTAACACCTAAATCTAATTTCTAATTTTGAAATGTCCATTAATCAATAATCATTCTATAGGTTTACTATATTATTTAAATTATTACATAATCTCTAGGATGAGATTGAAGTATATCTAAAAACATCTATTTAGATAAATAAGCAAATGAACAAGCTGTATCAGTTTTAATACTATAAGGATGAACATTGTTCATAAAGAATGGACCATGGCCAAATATGTCTCCCTATTTCAATTTTCCAATATAGAATTTTCTGTCTTAAAGATCAACTAAAATTTCAGCTTCTCCACTAACTAATTAATATAATGCAATTCCATCATGAGTTCCATTTTCAATTACATATGAATTTGGAGCAACTCTATATTCTTAAACATTCTTAGTCAAATCTAATAAACATTCTTAACTAAAATATCTATAAAATATATGAATGCTTGTAATAAATTAACCATATAAACAAATCTAAATTTCTTCTTTTAATGTTGGATTTAAACAATTTATAATCTTATTTTCATCAACAATCCGAAACTTCTCTTCTTAAGTCCATAGATTCTATAAATATTATCTTACTCTAAATTATAATGACTACTCAAAATTCTTTCTTTACATATATCTATTTATAATTGCCATATTTTCATTGATTTTTACATCAAATTTATTCATTTCAGTAATAATCATACCTATTGTATTGATTGAATATGCAAATACAACACTTGCAATAAACATAGTACAAACACAAAATAAGGCTTCTTCATGATTTGCTGGTGTTAAATCACCATATCCTACAGTAGTCATAGTCATAACAGACCAATAAATTGAATAACTATAAAGTGCAAACCAAGAATCTTCAACTATTCCTGCTTTATTTATCCAATTATTTTAATTATTTTATGCTACTACATACCATAGACATCCAAATACATGAGCATATAAAAATACAGTTCCTATAACACTCAAAAATCGATATCCAATAACAAATCTTGGATTACTTAATAATCTTCCTTCTAAAGAATGATATACTCTATTTAATGCATTAGATCTTAGAAATGATAAACAATTCACAATTCTAATTATTGTATTATCTGTTTCAAATGATTATATTAAAATTATGTTAATGAATATTGGTATTATTGATATTAAATCAACAAAAAAATATTTTCTTATATATCTTCTAGCAACTCTCTTTTAATTTATTACAACTTCTCCATTTTCATAATATCCTGTTCTAAATCCTAAAACAATATCAAATGAATAATAAATAAACATTAAAATTAGTATATTTTAAGAATTCTCTTTCTCAGAAATAAAAAACCAATTCAAAACATTCAAATTAAAACATATTTGAATTGATAATTGAAATAAAGATGCTAATGTAACAAAGAACTTTAATAATTCCCAAAAAAATAAAAAATTTCCTTAAGGATCTATTGTTTCTTTTCTTAATTTATTAAAAATCATCTAAATTTTACAAACACTAAAATAAGTCCTAAGTACAATAAATGCTTTCATACTCTCCATTCTTTTTAATACTTTCTTTTATTTAGATTTATCATGAATCTTAATAAAACTATTATTGTTGTATTTCTCATTAGAATTGCTAATATCAGAACTTAAATCTTATATTAATTACAATTATGACTTTGAAATTTTCTTAGCAAATGGAGATAATTATTTAATATTTTATATGAATTTCTTAGCCAAATTCATTCGATTAGTTAATTTTGAAAAAATCTTAGAAAAATGTTTACTTTTTCTTTTTGGAGATTTAGATGATTAAATAGCAGGACTAATCATAGATTTACTTTTTCTATGATCATCTATTTCTCCTAATTTCTTTAATTCTATATTTGGACTATCACATAGAATTAAATCATCCCTAAGAGATTGTTTCAAAGGAGATACTTCAGATAAATCTAAACTATTCCGACGAATTTATTAAGTTGATTTACTTACTTTTCTTTTATTTTCATTTTGATTTTCAGGAAATGTTTTATGTTAGATTACTTAATCTGGTTTAATACCTTCAAAATCAATAAATGCCAATATCTACTCTTCATTTGGTCTCCTTACTTACATTAAATTCTAATTATTGAGTTCATTTAAATAATGATCAAGACCATTCTAATGACTATCTCCTGACATATTGATTGAACCAGAACTTGGTTGTAAATTCATTATTTTAATTATAAAATGTAAACTTGGGATTCTGAATTACCTCATACAATGCAAAAAAAATTGAGTCTTTTATTAGAATAACGTGAAAATCTTTAATAATAAGAGAGTCAATTGAAATAAAAGAACTTACTATTTGCTCATAAGAAATCTTTATCAAAATTACAAAATCAAAATTAACAGACAGTTGAAACTCTTTTAGAAAATGAAAAAATAGAATTAATTGATATTTTTGATTAAGAATTGATCAATCAAAATTCAAGAAGATATTCTTCTAGAAGAATGCCTACTTTAGAGTAATCTGCTATATCATTTTAAGAATAATCAGCAGTATTTCACAAATCAAATAAAACTAATAGATCAGCATCAACCAATTTATCATATTTTAATACATAATCTCCTTAAAGATTATCAAAATTTAAAATTGATACTAATACAAGTCGAATACAAGATCAAGATTAAACTATTAAACAACTGCAATCTATAGTTGCAGAACAATAAGAAAAGTCTCTCATTCAAAATTAAGAGATTCAGATACTTAAAGAAAAAAATCAATCATTGATAAGATAATTAGAAATAAGTGAAAAAAATTTTATAAAATTTTAAAAATAAACTGATTTATTTAAAGAGAATTTAGTTGAAAAATTGAAGACTTACGCATAAAAATTAGAAGCATTAAATGAGAATGAAGAAAAAATCATGATGATGTAAAAAGAAAATGCCAGATTAAAATAAGAAAAAGAGGAATTACTCTTTCTGATGAGAAACAATAACATTGGAGTTAGAAGATGACCAAATTAATTTATTTATTTATGGATACAACTACTACACATTAATAACTTTAAATTGAAATATTTAAATTCAAATTGATTAAAATATGAGGAACATCTTCTCTTCCTACCTAACACCTCTAATAAGTATTAAAATTATTATATCCATAAATTATTGATAATCAGCTTCATTTAAATCTCAATCAACACTATTTGTCACTTTTTTCCAAAATGAAATAAAAATACTTTAATATCAAAATTTAAAGAATATAATTATTTTGATTAATTATCTAATCTTATAAGCTAAAAATATTATATTATAATCTATCTCATTATGCTTAGTTATATCATATTTTAGATATGAATGGTGTTTATAATTATTCATCATTTTTTTAATAGATTTTTGATTATTAATTAAATCAAGTATATAAGTAAATCAATATAATTTAATAATGTATGCAAATATTGTTTTATTGAATTTCTAAAAATTTATTAGTTTAAATGGCATCTCCTTGTATAAATAGAGATATTAATTATTAATAATAAAAAGGAGCTAGATCTTAAGTTAAACTTAATGATTTGATACTTCCTCAACAAAGACATTCATTTATTTTTAGCTTTTTGTATAATAATAAATAGTGAGTATAATTTAAATCATAATGATTAGAGTTATTTGACACTTTATTCATTATTTTTTTAATAATTTTATTGTATATTCGAAAAATTCAGATTATTGAACTCAAACAATTTACTTTACTTTCCTTCAAACTCTTTACAAATAATATTTTAGATTTTTTAGATTTGCCTTTTTAATTTTAGAATGTTTTCACATCTATTATTATTTAATTTTATATAATCTATAAGTAATAAATTTTATTTAGAATCATTTCTACATATAATAGAATTTTTTATATATGGCAAATTGATTTATACTTTGTTATATGAAGGTAGTAAAGGAAATAAAATAGTTGCATATTAGTTATTATAATTTTAATATCTCTCCATTGGCTATTATGAATTTTTAAATATTAAGAAATCAACTCATGAGACATATATATTCGTTTTATATTAAAGCAAAATATTAGTTTAGACAATTGGTTAAAGTCTTTAAGAATTAAAGTTGTTATTTAAACAATAGAATACTTGGATTATCTAATCAGTGTTTTATTGTGTAGTTTATTATTATATATTAAAATTTTTAATTCACTTAGAATAACTTGAAAAATTCAAGTTTGTTTATATTAAATTCATATAATATATTTAATTTAATCATATGGCAGAAAGAGAGGAATCTATGAAATACTATCATTCAAGAGAATCAGAAAATGATGAATAAAAAAAGCCTAGTTATGCAATGATGAGCATTATTAATAATTAACCGCATCCAGTATGTATTACAAAGCTATTTTTTATGCAAAAAATATAGATTTCAATGGAGTTAGCCAACGAAAATCAATTGAAAATGAATATAAACATGGTCCCTTGGTATATATGTAAAATATTATAATAAGTTAATTGATAAACCCAAATGTTTACCAATAATAAAAAAAGAATTAAGTCAAGAAGAACTTGATGATTAGGAAGGAAAGGTTCGGAAAATAAATAGTGGTTCAAGCATAGCAGAAATTAATGAATAAAAGTCAAATAGAAGCTAATCTAGTGCAAAGAGTGCCAAGAGTGCAAAACATTTGAGTAATCAAGTATTGAATGGAGAACCAAAGAAGAAATAAATAAGAAGAATGAATAGCAAAATAAAGGCAAGATTGTAGAAAATGTAAAACATTAAATAAGCATCGGCATTTTAGAAATTAGTTTTTTAATTTATTGAAGGATGGGCATTCTCAATTTTAATGGCTATTGTTACACTTTATGCACTTTTTGGAGATGATATAAGAATCTTAACAGTCAATAAAGATCAAGATGATATCTTTTTTATTCTCACAATAATAAGCATGTCGTTTTTTACAATAGAAATAATCTTAACCTCAATAGCAAATCCAAATTATATCCTAAATGTAAATAATTAAGTTCTAAGATTAGTTTTATTTTTGTCTTGATGTAATTTCGACTGCAACGATGATTTTAGACATTGGATGGGTAACGGATTTATGGTATGGAGATGAAGGAGATATTGGAAATGCTGCAACAATTAAAGCCTTGGGTAGAGCATCTAGGGTTGCAAGAAAAGCAGCAAGAGTCATTAGGATAATCCGATTAGTAAGACTGGTAAAGTTATATAAACATGCCAGACAATAATATGAAAAGGATCAATAACGAAAAATCCTTTAGGATATATTAAAATAAAATAGAATATTGAGCGATGAGAATTAAAAGTAATAATAATAATAATAATAATAATAATAATAATAATAATAATAATAATAATAATAATAATAATAACAAAATTATATTTTCAGAAATTCCTCATTTCCATCACCTCCTCCGTCTGGTGGACAATAATTAAAAAATAATGATGATAAATAAGAGTTGATTGAATTCTAAAACTTAATTAAAGATACCAGCAAACCGTTTCTAGGATAAAATTAATAATAATAAAATCATGAAATGTCTGCTTTGTCAGTTTAATAAGGATTATCATATGATCAAAATGCTTAAGGAATGAGTAATGAGTAGTTTAGATAAAGCTAATAATCTTAATAGATGAATGAAAATTTTTAAGAGAGCAATGTTGGTTCTAGATTGTCTGACTTAGTAATGAGAAGAGTTATAACTATTATCTTGGCAATATTAATAAGTATACCAGTATTAACTTTAGATACATATTAAGAAACAATAAATTCCTATGATTCTGGTATATTTAGAATAGGTTAATTTAGAAATGATCAAAAACTTCTTGAAATCTTAACTATGTAATATGTAAAATTTCATCAGGATGAACTTTTTCCAATCTTGGCTGTATATGTTATTAGAAATAATGTAACTAATAATTTTCCAAAATTAAATGAAACAAATTTTTAAATCTTTAATTATTCTCGAAACTCTGAATGGTTTTAATCAACGCATTTAAATATTGATTAACACCGATTCTCTGATAAATAATATTATGCTGCAGTAGATACAAATAATAAATTAATAACATGTTCAGTAGGTGATTTGATTGACTATAATCAAACTAATGCTATTCTTTCAATATTTTAGACCTTATTTGTATGTATTGTATTGGCTTCGAGTGCTATTTTATTTAATAAAAATGTAAATGAATTGGTTATTGAACCAATAGAGAAAATGATGGGAAAGATAGAATTAATTGCTCAAAATCCATTAGAGGCAGTAAATATAGAAGAGTAAGAAGATTTGATAATGGAAGAGTTGGAATAAAATGAAGATCATGAGAAGATAAAGGAAAAATACATTGAGAAATAGATGGAAACATATATTCTTTAAAGGTTAATTATGAAAGTTGGAGCTTTATTGGCAGTAGGATTTGGAGAAGCAGGTTCAGAAATTATTGCTGAGAATATTAAGAAAGGAGGGAGTGTTGATCCAATGCTTCCAGGTAAGAAAATAATGGCTATATTTGGTTTTTGTGATATAAGAAATTTTACTGATGCAACAGAAGTTTTATAAGAAGAAGTAATGGTATTTGTAAATGAAATTGCTGAAATTGTACATTCAACAGTTAATTAATATGGAGGATCAGCAAATAAAAATATTGGAGATGCTTTCCTATTAGTTTGGAAATATTTACCTATGGAATATCATCCAAATCCACAAAATCCATCTAAATTAATTGTGAAAACTGATCATCATATTAAACAAAAAGGAGATATGGCAGTTTTGGCTTTTCTAAAGATAATTACTTCTATATCAATTTCAAAGAAATTAGAGAGGTATAAAAAACATGCTGGTTTGAATGCAAGAATGAAAGATTATTCTGTTAAAATGGGATTTGGATTACATATGGGATGGGGTATTGAAGGAGCAATTGGTTCATCTTTCAAAATCGATGCTTCTTACTTAAGCCCTAATGTCAATATGGCATCTAGATTAGAAGCTGCCACTAAATAATTTGGTTCCATTATTTTAATTAGTGGGGTTTTAAAGTAATATTTGACTGAAGATTGTCAAAAATAATTAAGATAAATTGATATTGTAACTGTAAAGGGAAGTGTAGAGCCTGTGGAAATTCATACTGTTGATATGTCAATAAAAAATTTATTACAGAAGACAAAGGAAATGAAAGACAAATTTGACACTAGCAAGATGAATTAGAAACAATAAAAAGAGTTTCGAGTACTTAATAGATTTAAAAGGGAACAATTACAAAAGGATGTTTAAAAAGACAAAGTAAATGTTGTAGATTAATTTAAAACTGATGAAGAACTCCTTTACTCTAGAGAACCTTTTACATAAGTAAACTATTGTTAAATATTTATCTCTTTAGGAATTTTATCAAACTTGGAAAGAAGGATTCTAATTATATGTCAAAGGCACATGGGATAAGGCTCAAATAATATTTCAAAAAACTTTGGTATGCTTATAAATTAAATTTAAAGAGTATGATTCCTGAACATAAGGATGGTCCATCCAATACCCTTTTAGAAGTTATACATTCCAATGGTGGAAAGGCTCCACATGATTGGAAAGGTTACAGAGAACTTACAGAAAAATGAATGTTTTTTTTCATTTAGATTTATTACTATAAGGATCTTGATTTTCACAGTTTACAATATTATTAAATTAGTATATAAATAAATCTATAATGATGTTATATAGAAATGAAGAGAGAGTTTATAATTTATTTAATGAATTCTCAAGCACAATTTAGATAGGACAACAAAATGTAGATTCATTTTTCTCGACCTTCATCTAGAAATAATAGTTTTCTACCTGAAATTGTTTAGACACCATCCTATAATTAATATCAAAAACAGTAAAGCAACTCAATCTTCAACTCTTCAAAAGGAATGGATTAGCTTAACTTATTCAAAATTTCTTAGACCGAATCAAATATAGATTAGATAACTTCACGTACAGAAATATAACGTAAAGAACTAATTAGAGAAATATTTAGATAGGATAAGAAACATATAGCACTTAAACCATTAATTAAATAATAAGAATATACTCATAGAAATAGATTAAGAAGAGATGATCAAATAGAAGATTAACAAATATAATTAAAAAGCATTCTTAAAAGAAAAAGCTCTAACAGTAGAGAACATGTTGATATTTTTGATTTCTTTGAATAAGATAATTAGGATTTAAAATAATAATAATAAAAACCAATTTTCAATAGACTAAAACATAATAAATAGGTATCTCTTCAACCAATAGAAAAGGATGACTATTCACCTCCATTATATAATCCAGGAAAGAAAATAGTTTCTTTTAATAAATAAATTTAAATTAAAGTAATTGATCCAAATGAGGAAAAACCAAAATCTAATTAAAAAACATTTAGAAGAATGTACACAGTTGCAGATCTTTTAGATAAATCATGATTTTCAGTTATATATTAATTATTATTTTTATACTTAATTGTAAACTAATATATTTTTATTATTCATTTCTATAACATTTATTATTAATAACTTAAAATTTTTAAAATAAACAAAGAAACTCATATAATTAATAATACAAATAATTAAAAATTGATTCATAACTTTCATAATCTAATTAACTTTTAACAAATATCTTATCAATTCTTTATTATTACATATTTTATAAATGGCAACTTCATTATTTCAATGATTATTCATTTCAAATAAAAATTCTTATGTTAATTTTAATTCATAATTTAAATAATAAAGAATGAATACCAATGACATAATATATTAATAGCAACAAGAATAATAAGAAAGAAAACCAAATTTTTTAGAAAAATTATGTTCTTGCATTTACTTTTTTCAGAAGAAATCTAATAAAACTAATGAAAAGTATTAACTTGGAATTGATACACCAAAATCACATGTATAAATGAAAAATATAAATATGAGAGCAGAAAAGTATGTGTTTTAGATTTAGATGAAACACTAGTACATAGTTAATTTAAAGCAGACAATGGTCATGATTTTTCTTTAGATGTAATAATTCATAATATATTAGATCATAGTTTAAAGTTAATTGTTTAAAGTTTATGTGACAGTTAGACCTGGTGTAGAAAACTTTATTGATACTTTAAGTGAATACTTTGAGATAATAATGTGGACTGCTAGTTTGAAAGAGTATGCCGATCCTGTTATGGACATTATAGATCCATCAAGAAGAGCATTGACAAGATTATATAGAGAAAGTTGTACACCTATTCAAGGAGGTTTAACAAAAAATTTAAGTAAATTGGGAAGAAATTTAAAAGATGTCATAATTATTGATGTAAAACAATTGTTCACTCTTAGAATTCCTAAATGTCATTTATATTTTAATAAGAAAATGGATATTTAATCAAAGATTTTATTGCAGACAAAAATGATAATGAACTTGAGACTCTATTACCATTTCTTATTTGGTTAAGTTAAGTATTAAATATTATGAAATATTAAGTAAAATGATGTTCGTCCAGTCTCTTAATTATATAGGTAATATGTAATGAATGAATCAGTATAAAGAAAACATTCAAAAAGATAGATACTCTCATAATCTATGATTTTAAATAATTAGAATAGCAATAAAAAGACTGATTCGAAAGCATAAAGAACTCACACAGTTAATCATTGTGATGTAGAAGAAATAGAATTGAGAGCTGAAGCAAATATAAATTCGCCTAATATTGAAATGAAATTGAATGATTAAACAGATGATGAAAGTCGTGAAACATTTGAAATAAGTAATTGTTGATTTTAATTCACTATCTAAATCACTCTAATTCCCTATTATTTAACTATTTAAGTATATAATAATATTAATCTACATATATATTATTTAATTAATTTTTTATTTTATTCATACTTTTTAGACTACTATAAAACTAATATTTATATGAATAATTTATTATTATATAATAAATGATAAATATTTATAATAAAAATAACATAATATTTCTAGATAATTATAATTATATAAATAATTTAACTGAAATTATATAATATCTACTTGAATAAATAGAGAAATCATTCAAAAAATGGATGTTCATTCTTATAAAATAATTTATTACTCTTTTCTTTTATTCTTAGATTAATAATCAAAAATAAACTAAATTCTTCTTTATAAAATTTATTAACCCATAAAATATAATATTATCTATGTTAATTTATGTCTTCTAATCTTATTTAAGAATTTATGATAGGTAAAATTGAATAAATTTGATATATTATTTTTAATATAACTAATTATATAATGTCTTCTTTTACGGGATTTCTTGTGAAAAAAACTATACAAGATTATCCAATCAGACAACAATTAGGGTATTACTAAGATTTTCAGAGATAGAATTTGACTCTCTATATAAATAAAAAGCTTGCAGATATGAGATGTATAACAATAATAAATTAGTGTCAAATGGCACAAACTCTGTCAATGCTAAAAGTTTAGTTAATTTAAACATTTAAACAAATATTGATACACCAAATAAAATGAGTAATTTTAAAAGAAGACAGATTTCATAATAAGAAAGTTAAACAAGACCAAAAACTTCTTATCATAAAAAATAACATAAAGTTTAACCAAAACCAGAACAAAAGGTTGCATCCCTAATAAATGATGAATTAATGAAATAAAATTCAACTAGTTCCTTATATCAAGAATATAAAATGGCTAATCTTAAGGCAAATCTTTAAAAATTACAAGCATAAAAAAAATGTAACCTAATTGAACTTAATCATGTTGAATTGACTGATGATGAATAAATTAATTATTATTTAACTGAATTATGTAGGTAACATCCAGAAGTAGATATTGGTAAATTGTTAGATGTAGATATAGAAAAAGTGTCATTAACTCAACATCAAGATAAATTAAATGAATTAATAGAAAAGAGAATAAATTAAGAAGAATTGGATTAAATAATAAGCAAAGATGAGAAAACTAATTTAGTTAAAGTATATAAGGAATCTAGATATGATCAATTTGAACCAGAATATAGTAAAAAAAACAAATTAAAAATGACTACATTTAAAAAATAAAAAGAAATTTAGGATAAATTATTTGCTTAAATATTTGAAGATGAAGTATAAAATAAAACACAAAAAGTTGATATGAACAAATTTTTTAGAGCACCATCATAACAAATATCTAATAAAATTAAAAGAAGATCAAATTATGGAATTAATTCAAAACCTTTATCTCATAGATAATCTCCTGTAATTAGTCATTTTGAATCAAGACCTTAAACTGCATTAGGTACACATACACAATCTTAAACATTCTTGACAACTAAATAAAAATGGGATGGTAAAGGTGTTGATCCTGATACTTAGTAATAAATGTAAGATATTATTGGATATTGTATTGAATTAGAAGATGAATAAAAAAAAGAAAAGAAATAATTTAAAAGGAAAATGAGAAGAATGGATTAAGAGATATAAAGATCAGTAAGAACTGTATCAGAATAATTTCAAAATTAAGAAAAATAAACATTTTAACATGAAGAATTTAAAAAGTTTTAAAGTGAAACATAATTCAAAAGAAAATTAATTGGTTTTTTAATGAATCAAGTTGGTGATAAAAATGAGATTTTAAGTTAAAAAGCAAGAAAAGAGTCAACGAATAAATTTATTCATAAAGTTTCAAAATTATCTAATGAATGATGAAATATAATTATATTATTCCTTTATAATTTCTTTAAATTTATCAAAATTTTAAAGGAATATATTATTACATTAATTTTACCTTTTTGTTAACATAAAATGATACCTTCAGACAATGAGGAATAATTTTCTCCATATTCTCAGTTGAATATTATATTTATATTAAAGACATAAACTTAAGAGTAACTAGATTGATGAAAAACCAAAAGATTTATCAAAAAAATATGCTGTTATCGATCAATCAAAGAGAGTTTTATTGTTAAAACGAATTTTATCAAGAGAAGCTACAATCAAAGAAGCAGCTAAAGAGTTCGGTGTCAATTTTAGCACAGCAAAAGCAATTTTAACAACATATAGAAAAGAAGGTCGAATAGGGAAGAAGAAGACTAGAGAGAAACAAAGAAAAGAAAAAGAAGGGAAATAATATAGTCTTAGTAATGAGAGAAAGGTTTAATCTATGTATGATTTGGAAAGAGATGAATAATAAAAAAAAAGAAGTTTTTCTCCTGATTTAAAAGTATACATTTACTATTTATAAATCTCTAGACAACTGATTAACATATAACAAATAGTTTATTACATTAGCATTAATTATTGATAACAAAAACTACTAAAAATATTATATCTACTTAAAGTTTAGAAGAAAAGAATGCATATATATAACTTACAAATTGTTAAAGAGAATTAGAAAAATAAAAATTAGTTAATTTATAATTACTCATGATCATATCTGTAAGATAATAGTTATTATTCAATAGTCTCTTTAATAGAAGATATAATCTATATAAATGCCCCTAATTAAAGAAGAACTAAATTGAATATTTCATTAATTTTATAATATTATTTTAATATTATAATTATTTTCAGTCTTATATTAAATTCCATGAAAAAACATTTGCTTGTCGTAAATGTCAAAGAAATGGACCTAATAATTGAAAAAAATAATTAACAAGGAGCACTATGGTTAGGTAATCTAAGAGCTGCCTAAAATATAACACAGTTGAAAGAAAACAACATCAAAACAGTGATAACAGTGGCCAATAACCTTTTTATAAGTTTTAAGCAGAATTTAAACATACGACACAAAGTATATCTTATTATGAAGTCAGATTTTTAAGGTTGAGGATTCAGAAAAAGCTTAAATCATTAATCATTTCGAAGAGATTAATAATGAGATTATCAATGGATTAAATCATGGCTCAGTTTTAGTACATTGTGTTGCAGGAATTTCAAGGTCAAGTGCATGTGTTATTGCCTTTATTATGAAAACTTATAAATGGACTTATGAAAAAACATTTTATTATGTAAAAGAGAAAAGATTAGTTATCAATCCTAATAGAGGCTTTAAAAAATAACTTATTTAATATCATAAAATACTAACATCAGAAACAAAGCCATAAAATTAATCCATATTAGAATGTGAAGGTTATTAATTAGGAAAGATAAATTCATGGAGTAAATTACATAAAAAAAATGTTCAAACTCCACAAGAATTAATAAAATAGCTATCTTAAAATTTGATAAAAACTCCTGTTAAAAAGATTGACTAGTTAAATCGCACTTCAACTCCAGAAGAAAGATAAATCTATCGTTAACAATTAGCAAAAAAATTATTTGTAAATACTTTTGCAAACAAAAGTACTGCATCAATCTCACATTATTCAAATGATAATTCAGTTCAAAAATAAAAATCCCCTGATGAATAACATATTAAAATTAAAGCTTTCTTAAGCATGTACAAAAAGGTAGACATGAGTGTCTTGCAATCAGAGAGAACTAATTTTTGAAAATTACTCATGATGATATTAATATAAATGATTTCAATATCTATAGATTAAATTAAAAATTGAATTATTATTAAAAGTTTAAGTTCAATCATAAAATAAAGAAATAAAAATTAAATCTTGAGACTAAATAGAAATTTCTATTATTAATCAATACGAAATTCTGCCTTTATTTAAATATAATTAGATCTTATATATATATAATATGAATGATTATATAGATCTTTTTTATCTTCTTTATAATTTTATTAAAGGTTTATTCTAAATATTTAATTTTCTTGGATAATAAAAAATATAATATCTAGCAAATATCAATACATTATTATCTATTGAGCCAATAAAATTTGAAATTATTCTGAAAAATATTTATTATTCTCATAATATTTAAAAATTAATTAAATGAAAAAGTGGCTGTAGAAAAAATTAAATTAAAGCCTTTCAGATGATTAAAATAAACATAGACTTACTAGAAAAGAAAGATATATGAGACAATATTTGAATTCTGAAAAATGTTATAATTATTGGGAGATTATGACATCCAATAATTTAGTTTAAGTAAATCTAAATAGAGAATCATAAGGATTTGTTAAATAAATATAAGAAATCTTTAAAAGTCCAGAATAAATCTTTGATGTTGAATTGCAATAAAAATTAATGGAATTATATACACTATAAGAGGATTAAACACCAGTTTTAGCAATATTTGCAGTTGGATTTCATCATAAAAGAGGATCAGAAATAGAATATTGTTATCCAGAATTATCATAATTGACAAATGACATTGAAAATATTATCAATACAGTGACAACATGTGCTTTACCAGATGCTGTTCATAATGCTAATGAAGACTACTTATATTTTAATTTTGATGCATAAATAAAAGAGTAGAAGAAACAATTGTTTGGTGTAACATGCTTCAAATAAATTAAAGTAACAGAAGAGTTGAAAAAATAAAATCCAGAATTAACTAGAGGACATATATAAAAGGCCATCTGTTTATTATCTTTTGTGCCTCTTTTTGGATATATAAAGAGTAGATTAGAACCTACAATATAAGCATATTTTCAATTATAAGACTTTAAAGATATGTCAATTTTAAATTATGCTTTTGATAGCATTTTATAAACATTTGATTTAAAGAATGTAGAAATCTCAGCATTATATACTGATACTAATTTGATTGGGTTATTTTGGATTTTTAAAGAAAAAATATTTAAAATCCTAAAAGCAGTTTAATATTAAATGAAAATTATTATATACTCTTAATCTTCTAGTGTTTGTTCTAGATTTATAATAAGTTTATTATCTTTGATACCAGGTTTATTGAATTTTAATTTATAATCTAAAAAATCATTAATATAGGTAATAATATTTTAATAATTAAAGGCAAGCTTCTTGAGTAATTTTGGGTTACCATTTAAAATATTTAGTGAAACATATAGATTATTTATGCATTTTAGTGTGACAGACATTAATATGTTATAAAGTAGTAATCTAAAAGGGTATTTGATTGGAACTACAAGTAAATTTATAAAGGGTCTCAATTAATTAAATCCTGAGATAATTATTGATATTGACACAGGAGAATTGAATATTTTAAAAGAATAGCATAAGAAATTATTAAAGTAAAGTATATGTTTTAATTAAGTCTAAAATTAATTGAAAAATAACTTTACAGTGCTATTAATACAGATTGTTTAAAAATATTGGATTAAAATTAATAAGACTAATTAAAAAAATTAATTCCGATTCAAAATTCTAAGATTACATTTCAAGGAAGTGAAGATTGGATTAGAAAAATAATTCATGATAATTACATAAAAATGTTATCTGAAATTAGCTATTTCGTTATAAATTTATAAACATTTGATGAAAAGATAAATAAATTGACTGCAATAAGAACTAGAAAGAGTATGATAATTAAATAAGAAATAAGTCCATAAGATGTAATATTAGAATCTATAATAAAAAGAGCTCTGATGATGATGATAATCAATCTTAAGATCCATAAAAATTAGAAATAAAGAAGCATAAAGAAGATTTGGTTGAAGAATTAAAAATTAAGGAATATCGTAATTTACTATATGATCTTATGAGAGTGATAAGAAAGCATAACAGAAAAGGTATCATTTATTGGATTACAAAAACTGAGAATGGACTTAATTGGTTAAAATCATTTGATTATTCTATTATCACAAATTCTGAATGTTTTGATAAAAATTCAACATTGTCATTCTATAAAATATTTGATAATGCAGATATTTATATTGGAAATATGTAATATGGTGGACTCATATAATTATTTTAAAAAAGAGTATACTTAGGTTAAATTTAAGATTTTCTCAAACATGGATAAGGAAGATATGAAAAATTAATTGATAAGAAATTTTAATATAAAGGTCAATTTAGAAATAACAAATTTCATGGAGATGGTATGCTAATTGTTGTAAATGAATTTTAGTATAATGGTCATTTTGAGTAAATATCTTTTTTGATTTTAGAAATAATCAATTTAATGGATATGGTAATTTGTAAAAAGAGAATTAAATTTATGAAGGATGGTTTAAAAATGGGTTCTATTGTGGAACTGGAAAATTGATATTGCCAAACAAAGATGTATATGTTGGTTAATTTTCTGATGGCTTATTTTAAGGAGAAGGTCAATATGTTTGGGCCAATGGCGATATATATAAAGGTATTTATAAGGCAGGAAAGAGACATGGTATGGGAATCTATTAAAGTAAAAATGAATTCTATTTTATTTTAGCTAAATAATACACATATGAGGGAGAATGGATAGAAGATTTAAAAGATGGATTTGGAGTAATTACATTATAAGAAAATAATTGCAAATACTAAGGATAATTTTAAAAGGATGAGATTGTTATAAATCAAGAAATAATTATTAAATTTCCTGATGATAGTATTTATAAAGGTAAAGTAAAGATTAATTATATAGGATAGATTAAAAACTATTAACCTCATGGGAAGGGTTATTTATAATTTATTGATGGAAAAATTTAAGATGGTAATTTTAAGGAAGGAAACTTTATAGACTAAGAACAAGTTGAAGATAAAAATGAATAAATTAATTCAAATCAAGAAAATACAAATTAGGAGTAAAATAATCAAACAGATTCTTAAAATTAATCAGATTAAAATTTAAATTAAACAATAAATCAAAATGAGCAATAATAATAATAAATTGATGATAGTTCAAATAAATTAATATGATTTATCATTCATTAATAATATATTTTTTGTTTTTAAAATAGTAATTGAATTCTATTTAAATATTATATAATAATATTTATAAAAATCTAATCTTCCTTAAATAATCTATTCAAGCTGTTGTTATGGAATCAGTACTGAATATTATTTAATTTGATTTAAAAATAATCAAACAAATTATTGTATAGAGCTTTGAACATTAAAAGGTTTTAAAAATATTGTAATAGAATATTTAGTAGATATTTAATTTTATTATTTAGCATATAAATTTCATATGATAATTTGATAAAAGACTTATAGTATAGAATTGATACAGGAAAGTGTGCTTATGCATTAATAATTCTAAATTATACATTTAGGGAAGTAATTAAACATTCAAAAATTTATTATTTTAAATATTTTAATTTATATATAAAATTTATATCAAATAATCATAAGAATTAGATCTGTAACATGATCTTCAGATTGTATAGCAATTGTATACGATATTTTAGTAACTTTGGATTAACTTAAACAAGAAGTTCTCAAAGCTTGATTTGATTCTAAAGATTAAAAATAATCACAATTAGTTAAGATAAGATACTTAAATCTAGTGAATATTATAATTAAAATAGTTAAATGAATGTATAGTGTCCATAAATATTAGATATCATAGAAGGAAAATTTAGGTTAGCAAGAAGTAATGATGACAAAACAATTGTTAAGGTTAAGATGATTAAATAGCAATATGCAGTTAATAATTATGAACATTTATTAATATTTAAATCTATAATTTTTACTTAAGTAAAAAAATAAAATAAAAATCTATTTTATAGAATTTTAGAATAATCATTTAGCCTCTTGATTTTATTCTTATTCAACTTCTTATTTTTATTGATCACCTTCTTTAGGTGCCTATTCATTTTGTTAGACTTCCTCCTCTTTTTCTAAATCATCAATATTCCCTAATTAAATATATATCAAAAGTTACCTGCATTTGGTTCTTCTTAATCTTCTTCATCATCTTCATCGTCATGATGATGTCCATGTCCATGATCATGTCCATGATGATGTCCGTGATCATGACAATGATCGTGACCATGATCATGTCCGTGATCGTGTCCATGATCAAAATTCTAAAATTTGTTTTAATCCCAATCATCCAAACCTTTGCCTCCTTCTTCAGCCTCATCATCTTCATCAATATATTTAGTCCAATCAACCTATCAATTATTTTTATATTATCTACTTATAAATATTACAATTTATGAGTTTCCTTTATCAATCTTGTCCAATATGAAGTAAATTTATCTTTCTTAGAAAGTATAAATCTGACATTTAATCCATAGTTTGTCCATTTACTTTCCTATAGAAATTAAATTTGATCAATACTTCAACAACTACTTCACTAAAGAAGTTAATTTCAAATACATAATTTACACCTTCTGCATTTGCTGAAAATTTAAGTGAATTGGAAGTCAATTCAACTTTTTCTTCTTTTAAATCCCTCACTTCTACTGTCAAAAATACATTATCTTTCCTTTGAGCCCATTTCACTATTGGAGCACTATTTAAAATTGATGGATATATTTTACATGGTTTTTTACATTATAACTTAATTTTATTTTATATCTCAAAAATTAGTTGCTATATGAATTAATTTTATCATTAAACCTTCCAGAAAATACTATATATATATATATAAATCATTTGATAAAAGAGATTCCTCCCAAATTTAAATTTGGTATTATATTTGTTTGTTTTCTTCTATTCATTGAATTGACTCTGGTTTCAGCTGTACTTTATAATCTACTAACTAGTTCAACTCGACTTGATTTTCTTTGAATTTAATGTTCATCTTAAAGAAAACTATTTCTAGGAGGAGAACATAGAGATAAATGAGATTTATGAGATACTTTAATAGGTTTAACATTTGTATTAGAAATTTAACTTAAATAAATATTAAATTTACTTAGCCAATGATTAATGAATTTTTTCTAATCTATTTGCAGTTATAAATTACGTTTATTTAAAAAGCCTGCTTGATTCTTTTTCTAATTCATTCTCTATATCATCTATATTATTTTTATGCTATATAATTTATGCTAATTTTCCTGTATTGAAGGTATTGAAAAATTATTTATAAGCATTCGAAAAATCTGTCCATTAAAGAGGTAGTTTATATATTTCATCTTATAATTGTTTAAGATGACTTTAATATTATTAATTTGTTTTGATTGTAATTTCATCAATCTCCTTCAATATGATTTTAAATTGTTCAATATCATTTTAAATTCCACTTTGCTATTATAATAAACTTTTTATTTCATCTTTCATTATTTGCATTTCTTTTATATCTATTTAGAATCCATCTTCTTATTATTATAAATTAGTAAAATTTAGAGTTTCAAATCTTGAGATCTCATTCATAAATGCTTCAAATTTATCATCCAGATATAAATGCAAAGATTTAAATTCTGATTCAAGATCCTATTTAATTTTATTTGAAATTTCTCTAATCTTTTGTCTATCAAATTAAATAACTCTGATGTTGTCAAAACATTTTTCAATAGAAACATTTAGTTTCTCAATAAATGGATGACCTTTAATATAAATTTAATCTTTTTGATTATTTTATTTTTTAGATGTAGTATAAGGTATGATAACTGGAGGTTAAATTGATTGTAATTTAACTTCAATTAAAGCATTAATAGTTTCATCATCTAATATAGTTATGTCAAAACATGTAACACATTCAATTTAACTTTCATGCTATCAATTAATTATAAATGTTATTTACTTATTTAAACAATTTTGCTAAACATGATAAACAAAATGTATGTTCACAATCTAAGCAAACAAATTTTTCAGGAACAATTTAACATTTCTCACATATAATTTGATTCATATTACTTTTTTAACAACTTTATTTAATTATATAAATTATAAAAATGTCTGATGATTGTGACATTTTAGGACCATTAGGATTTGGAATACAAATTCTATTAGGTGTGTTTTCATTCTTTATTTTGATTTGTAATTAAAAATTTTATGATTAGATAAAAGAATTGTGGAGAAACCAAAGAGGCAATGGAAAGTTTGGGGATTAGATACATCAAAATAAGGATGTTCGTAAGTCTTTGCTCATTTTTTAAATGTTGCATTGGCTATACATTTGTCAGGTGATTCTGATGAATGTGTTTGGTAGCTAAGTATTTATAATTAAAAGGTATTTGGCTACATTGCTATTGGATACAACAATGGGAGTATTATTTAGTTATGTAATCCTAAAATTAGTTGAAATTACATTAGAGCATTTTTAAATGGCAGTAAGATAACAATCATTTAGAATTATCGTTCAGGAAACTATTTTTTAATAATTATGCCGGATGACCAAGTGAAAAAAAATGAAATGGATAATAAAGATAAAGTGCCAGCAGGTACTAATCTTATCAAACCTATTATTAAAATTGATTTAAAGGCTTGGTTTATTTAGTTAATTTTATGGATATTAGTAGTGGCAATTGTAAAAATTCATATATTTAAAAATAGTCAAAATTCTTCCTTTTTTTATTGCAATTAGCAATTGGTTTCATATTAGAAAGCATTTCTTAATTTATTTTATCTCCATTTTCAGATTTGGCAACTCTTAAATTAGTAATTGTGATGTGTATAATTCCTGTTTTTATGAATGGTTTACAAGTAAATAAACAAAAAAAATTATTTTAAGTTTTGGGTTTAAGATAATTTTTTAAAAAAGACTGAATTCACAATCCAAGAAAAAAAGTACGTTTTAAGTGAAATGTATGTAGATGAAGAATTAACAAATTTTGCATAATTAGATAATTTTGTAAATAATCCAGTATAAATAATTTATCAATTTATGACATAGGAAGTGAAAAGTGAAAATTGTTTAGATAAATTGCATATGGAAATGGCTAATGTTGGTGTAGGTGTATAATAAATAACAAAAGGATATCAAAAGGCTGATTTTGAATGATTTTATAATTAATGATTCCTAATTTATGAGATTTTGTATTTAATTATTATTATAAATAAATAAAATTCAAATATCTATTTAAGTAAATTCTGATTTCAGTATGGAATCGGAGTCATCATTTTTTTTAATTTTGCATGCTATAATAAAATAATGGTGTCATCAAATCTCATGTTCATATTCTTACAATTTAATACAATAATAATATAATAATCCATTTCATTAGAACGATATGCACTTGCTAAACATGGACCAGCCGAGTCAGTTATACCAGTCTTAATTCCAAAAAATCCTTTATCTAATAATTTGTTTGTGTTTTTCCATTCATATTATTTATAAAGTGATTTTACAACATATTCTTTAGATGAAATTACAGTCTAGAATAGTTCATACTTTAAACATTCTATAGATAAAGTTATAATATCATTGCAACAAGAATACTAATTTATATCCTTTTTTTACATTATCTTCATTAGCTAATCCATGTACACATGCAAATTATGTATTTTATTATCCAATTTACTAAGAATATTTATTCATTTATTTGATGAAAACTTCAATAGGACAATATTAGAATCTAAATTCATGATTATAATAATATCCTTCAGCACTTAATTGTTCGATATCAATTAATTTAAGATCCAACCTCTTGTTTTATTATTAAAACAATCTAATCAAGTCAATAGATATATTATTTTTACATAATAGTTCCAATAGCTTAGGCAATAAGAACTGCAGCATCATTTCCTGAAGGTAACATTAATCCATAAAGTAAATCCTCCATTGATAAAATATCATTATATTTTAATTCAGCAGTAGTACCTATTGTCTCAGATGATTTTTTTGTCACTTTAACTTTTATCTATTTCAAATTTAGATTGAATAATTCAATTGTTAATAAAGTTACATAAAAAGTCATGATTTTAGTTAAACTAGCTACTTCAACTTTTTTATTACTTTTTCTTTTTAAAATAGTTTTATGTTCGATGCAATCATAAACAATAAAACTTTTTGCAGTGACATTTAATTTTCTTTTTCTTGGCTTACCATAATAAGAATCAATTATATTTTTAGTCAAATTAGATTATTATGTATTTGCTATTTGAGAACTTGAATCTTTACTACTTCCTGTAGTAGTAGAGTTACAAGTATAATTTTTATTTGATCTATTACTATTTGATTTCAATTTTGGAGAAATCAATGATCTTTTTGTATCACTATTTTAAGGTGATTGAATCATATTATTGGTTCGATTTGAATCAATTAGTTTAGTTTAAGTATTAATAATTGCTAATGGAATTTATGGTAAACTGTGTAATGGATTATTTGATCTAGTTTTATTGGAAGTTTCACTTTCAATTTTAGTAATTTATCTATCCTTCTCCAAAAGTTATTACTAAAATGGTAGTGAATATAATGATTCATTTTTATTCCTTAAATTATTCACAATCATTGGGGATTGAAATTCTGTGGCTATCTATGGAATTTTGTGATAACCTTTTAGTAACTTAATTGTCTTAGTTTATTCTATAAGCTATATTTTTCTTGAAGGTGGATGCAATAAAGCTGGATTTATAAAATCAACTAAATTTACACTGTTAGATGATGTTTTATTTCCAATCATTATTAATTATTATATTATTAAATTATAGAAAATTTAACATGTTAATTCTCAATAATCTATTATAATATCTTTAAAAAGATAAAATGTGTTTTAATTTATTCTGTAAATATAAAACTTTAATAACTTCCTAATGAATTATTTTTATTTATTTATATTATTTATAAATTAATATTATAAATCAAATAAATGTTAATTGTAAATATATAATAATAATAATAAAATTTAAAACAATTAAAACAAAATAAAGTTCATAAACAAGATTATATTGCAAATTCTTATCCTTTTATTTAAAATAATACAGAAATTTTTATTTTATTTAGAGCAGAAGTATTAAGTTCCATTTTTTCAATATAATTTAGAAAAGATAAGATAGTTCAATAGTGGTAATTGAACTTTAGAAAAACTGTTTATTATTGATAATTATCCATTCAAAAATAAATTAATTTATTATTATCTTATAATTATTAAAAATTAGATTATTGAACAATTTATATAAAGATATTTATAAGATATAAATTTAATAAAAAATCAATTAATAAAAATGATAAAATTTATATAATTTGAATCTAAATTAAAGATAAAATAAATAAAATCATATTATGAATTTTAGTTGCTCGCAATATTTTTATATTTAAGCATAATTTTGTGAATCTTGATATTGTAAATATCTTTCATAACTAAATTCGTTATTTTCACAAACTAGTACAGGTAATTGAGTTATTATGATTGAAGCTTTTAGAGAAAGCTAAAGTTTTAACCATTCAATAGGTTCTCTTTATAATCCTCTTTTTTCAATTATAGCAAGAAGTAATTAATCTTTCATATAAGATAAACAAATAGGTTAAATATTAGAATCTAAATTGTCATTAAGGAACCATAATACTTTTTCTCTCTTAGTTTTATCAAGTTGATCAGCTTTTGTATGAGAAGCATTCATAAGTAAAATCATTTCATTTCTTACTAGATAATTATCCGATTTGATACGAGTTAAGAATTATAGATATTCTCTTGAATTACATACTTCTTTCCATTAACCTATATTGAATGAATTTATTTGGGCTTCAAGAAATTTTTCAACTTCTAATCTAAGTTAAAGCATTCTTTTGAATACTAAAAATAATGGAATAATCCAAAAGTTTTGTAATGCATCCAAGAATTCAATAGATTTGGCAACAGTTTAACCTATGATATTAATGCATTCTAGAGATCTCAAATAATTTTATGTAAGAATTTCAATTTCAACTTGAGGTCTTTTAATTAATTAGATATAATTATCAGGATGAGATATTTCTTCTGAATTTTAAATAGGTGCATTTGAATCTTAAGAAAGGTGTCTCAAACTTCGAGCCTTATAATTTTTAATTGCCATTCTAATAGAACTTACTCTTGATCTAATTTTATCGTATTCTATTTCTTATTATGAGAGTCTTCGATTAAGTTTTTTATCATCAGAATCATCAATTCTTTAAGTGAGACCAAAATTAGATAGATTGGATCCAGTTCGAAGACTTCGAAAATCACAACTTAATTATACGGTATTATCTGATTGTTTAGTAGTAAATTTAAGTTTCATTTTATTATTAGAAAAGAAATTGTTAATTTGTTTATTATTTTTGACAGAAGAATTACATCTTTATTTATATTCTTCAATAAATTTATTTTTATATAAAGATGAAATTTTACTAATTAGAGATTAATTTGAAGTAGATTAATTGCTATTAGATGTACTTTCATGTAAAACTAATGAATTTCTTTAAGTTTTTCTACTAGATTATTTATTACTTAATCGAGAAACAGGTCTAATTTTGAGATCTGACATTGATCTTACTTCATATAATTTTAGAATAGCTTTGCATTTAGGATCATCCCTGAAAGCTGAATGATGAGGTATTTATTCCCAAGGGATAGGATTTTCAGGATTTAAAAGTTATTATATTAAAGAGATAATAGATTGTTTTTTAACTGTTACTAATGAAACAAGGTCTAATTTTCCTCCATTAAGCCATATTGAAATTCGTTTATTAATCTCATTTATTATAAATGATCCATTAGTCATCACTAAATACATGATACCTAAAGACCATTAATATTATGATAAACATTGTTTTCCTTTTAAAATCATAGGATTCCAATAAGCACAATAATTTTCTACTCTTTTTCTTAATCCAAAATCTAATACTACTATAGAATCACCATTGCGCATAATATTCTCAAGTGTACAATCTCTTGGTGGTTAACCTTTGTATATGTCATATGCAAAATATATTCTAAGAAGATGTTGTAAGTTTCCACCTGTCAATTACCAATCTATACAATTATCAAATAACACATCAGTAAATGTAGGTGTTTTTATTACTTAAACTATCATTGGTAGTAAATTGTAAACAGGTTTGATAAACTTTCCTTCAATCTTAGATTTGACTCTTTGATGCTATTCTAAAAATCTCAGTTCTTATTCTATAGAGGCTGTATCATTGAATCTTGCTATCAATACTTACTCATTAGACAATCTGATATGACCTCGAAATGCTGACCATTATTATCCTTTCCAAATAGGAAATGTAATTACATAAGCACACATATATATAATCTAATTATTTGGGTGATTTTTTTCATATAATGGAATCCTGTATGAAATTGGATCACAATAATAAACATGCAAAAAAAAAAACGAGGACGACCAAAAAAATAATAACAATAATAATAAAATGTAAGTCCAACCGACAGATCAATCTCTCTTAGAGATAGTAAATAATAAGATCGCTAATGTACCACACCTTAGTATGACAAGATCATGGCCTAAATCAAAGAGACATATGCTTCCTTAAATGATGCCAACCTCCAAAAGTAGCAAATATAATTATCACAAAAAAAGACACAAAAAATAGATAAAGCAAATAAAAAAATGAAACGAATTTCCAGATCAACCAAAAAACTAATCAATTAAGAGTAGAATGTTAAGTTAGAATCTCAGGATTTATAAGATAATTTAGATCAACTTAAATCTAAATTTAACTAAATATTTAAGAACTTCATTGATAATGTAAAAGGTGAGATTCAAAAGACTGAATAGGAATTGTTGAAAATATCGCATCATAAATTCTGACTTTAACAAAAAAAAGCAGAGAATTAATTTTGTTTAATTCCAAATATACATTAATATATGATTTCCATTCTCCTTCTTTTTTTTTAATAATTCCATCTTATCTATCTTCTTATAATCATTCATACATAAGTATGATAAATAATATATCTGAAAAAACTATCATTTATTATTTCATTAAAAGATTAATGTAGTTTTTACAAATATCCATAAATTATTCAAATATTTTTCTATAAAATTCTGAGCAAATAACTCATATTTACAAATTTCATTATC